CAAACAGGGTGTAACAGGGGAGATTATATAAACAACAATGTATATGAGAAAAGTCGAATGATATAGTCGATTGCTAATTAACGAGCTATAATTCGATCATTTACCCATAGTTGATGATGTCATAGATGCAAGAAGTCCAAGCACACAAGAAAATGGAAGTGATATAGCAATTGCACTGCTACTCATTTTACCAACCTGCAGCAAGTATATATATATATATATATAAAGATAAAAAAATACATGAATGCATAATTAATCACTTTTGTTTTTTGTATAATATCTCAATTAAGTTAACTATGCATTGCAATAATAAACTCACCAAAAGCTGCTCAAGAAAACAAAAGTAAGCTAGCATGCTAACAATGACTAAAACCGGCACGTCCTCCCAAACCCTGCATTCGTTTATAAATTCTTAGTCGACAGAAAAACACGCGCACGAAACAAAAAACAAAAAGAAAATATTATTTGGGACTTTTTGCCTGTATCCATTAATCTCCATCTGCGGCGCAAAAGTACTTGCTCGATCAATAGAGCTTTGAATGCATAGAAGTGTAACGGGTAGATTTTCGACTTGTTGCTTGCAAACATCACAAATCTTGTTACCCTTAATCGAAAACCATTTTACGGCACATTCTTGATGAGCCAGAGCAAGTTCGCCTTTGCAGCTACATTCCATCTTTAAACTTAATCCGCCTTCGCATAATTCGACCAAACAAATTCGACAAACAGCTTCTTCTTTTGGTATATCTTCACCTTCGATCTCATTGTTTTCTATTGAAAATCAGAAATGAAAAGTGAAATAACATAAAAATTGAATATGGAAAAAAAAAAATTGATATATTACCATCATTTGAAGTTGAGGTCTTTAACAAGTCCTCATTTTCAGGTTTTGCTTTAGGAGTAGATGGAATAACACGAAAGTAAGGATCGGTCTTTTTGTTGCGAGCCGGGACAGAAAGTGATCTCGACATACGACGAACTACTTTTGTCTGAAAGAAAACAAATAAATATATGCCAAATTAAGAAACTACCCTTCTTCTTGAACGACAAATCAATAAAGCTTCTTGCGTTGTATTTATTATTGAAGAAACAACAATCCTTCGGCATTAGGCGCCAAATTACACTATATATTGAAACCTTTCCAACCTAAAAAAAAAAATCTCTCGACTTTTCGAAAACATTACAAAACAATCCCATTTTTTCGAGCTACATTTTGCACTTACATCCCGAATTTTTCCCGAAAAATTTTTTAAAAGCAAATCTCAAAAGAGCTCTTACATCACAAGATGAGTCCCGATTCGAACTACTCCCGATTGGGGTAACAGGGAGGGACGATGTTGTCTTTATCCCGATTGGAGTGAAAATTCTCGACAAAAAAAATATCGACGATTTATCTTGTGAGTCAATTGCTGTCGAAGCTTTATTAGGCAGGACACTCTTTATGGATGGTCTTGAACCGGGACTTGGTGTTAATGCAAAGCTCACTCTCTTGGGGGTTCGAACCGGAGTTTGTGGCATTTTTATCCGTACAAATTCCGGACGAGACACATTTTCGAGTGTTCGTGTGGGTATCTCCAAGAAAAGGTTCGATTTTCGCCAGTTTTTGCTGTTTGGGTTAGCCATTTGTTCATCGGTTAAAGGCCCTTCAGAGGATTTTTCCAGCTAACAGAGAAGAAAAGCTTTTAGTATTCGATGTTATTTGGTCGATGCAAACGTAAAATGAACCCAAAAAAAAAAAAAAGAAAATCGCTTAGGCGACAAATTTTTCATGGAATAAAGTAAGATTGGTCCCATCAAGAAAAGTGAAGTCGAACAACAACACGAACCGAATCAACTTTTTTTCAGTCGAGAAAAATATTCATGGAGTCGAACAAAGTTATCGACTTTAAGAGAGCCCATCACGCGTTTTTCCGAAAAAAAAGTTACCAACTTTCAGATTATATATAGATGTTTAAGTTCAAATGTAGTTAGTTACTAATTACGAACAAACAGTAAAAATACTAGAGAAGAGTATTAACTATTAACCTGATCATGAACAGAACAAACAGCTTGTCGATCAAATTCCGAACTCCCGTCAGCTTTTTGAAGCTCGTCGATGGCGGTAAATTTGGTGTTGCCTTCAGAATTCATCATCTGAAGAGAAAATGATAACAAAAGTTCATATAATAAAAATGCTAAAAAATTTCTTGGCAGAGAACCGCAAATGAGAAAGAGAGACAAGAGAAAAAGATGGAAGTGCTAATTGTGCTTCACATTTCACTAACTACTTATGTAAATGGGGGATATTGAACTTATTAATTAGTGGGTATCTATGAATAATATGTATTTAACTCATTTGTTTATATGAAAATGGCTTTGTAACTGAACTGACAAACAGAGAACTAAAAGTGGCAATAAAGGCTATAGTAATTACACCTTGATTTACATGATAACTTCAATTTTTATTGACTTGTATTTTAGAAATTCTCAAAATATATATCTCATTGAGTTATTGAGGTGAAACAAGGGAAAAAAAAAAATTAAATACTATCACCATTAGATCATACATATTAATCATTGAATTAAATATGTGTGTGAATGTGTGAGATCCAACTGTAATATCTGATTACTCATCCAATGTATTGTCTTAAAATAGTCAACACATAGTTGTTTAATTAATGTACAGGTGTGTATATAGAATAGATAATTTTTGTTGCATGTATTTTGTGATTAGTTAATGCTATTCACAATTCACAAATTAAAGGTAGAGATATAAGTAACCATCTACAAAACAATAGTAAATCTTTTAAGTGCTTCAAAGATAATATTTAATAAAAGATTTAAGTGTCTTTTCTCTAACCATCTTTAAGTGCTTCAAAGTTCAAATAAGATTTAGTAAATCTTTAAGTAATCTACCAAACATTAGTAAATCTTTAAGCACTTAAGAGATTCACCAAATTAGAACTATTTTAATAAAATTGTTACCAATTACTTCGCATTACTGTCTTTTCTCTATCCGATATATAATTCTTGACTTACAAACATCATTTGTTTACTTAAGACTATCATCAATTTAATTTGATTTAAATCAAGAAATGGAACATATAATCACTTCTTTTATTTAGTTCCAACTTTTTGCTAGAAAACACAATACTATATATTGATACAACTATTACTTTTTTCTTGGATAATTATCATATGGAGATCTAGTGAGAGTCTCCGAATAATTTTACCATTTTATGTCACTTGATGCAATATATAACAAAAAAGAAATCATTTGTTTTATTTAGAGATATATAGTTACGAATTACATGGGAACAAGTTATAGAATTGATGAACCCCACAAAGTGTGACATATTACATATCTTATATCTAACATAATACATTAATTCATGAGCAATATTGGATGCGTTTTAACATCACATTCCATTATAAATCTAATCTTAATCTAAATGTGGAAGTTTAACTGAACTTCCTCTTTGTGAGTACACTTTTGATATCGCTAATGGGATCAAAGATTTGTGAATCTGTGTGTCGTGTACGGCGGCCAATTGTGTGCAAAATTTTGACAAATATTGCCTTTAGTAATTAGATCGAAATATCTCCTCTTAATAATAATTAGTACAGAGCCCGTGCGATGCACAGGGTGCACAATATTAAGGCTATTTATCCAGGCTTATAATTACATACATGAATAAAGAAAATGTACGGGATATATATAGTACGTGACATGTGCGAAGCATGGGATATATTTATTTGGAAAATATTATATTATAAGATGCAATATTCAATAAAAGTTTATAATACGCAAGAAAATTGTACAATGTTCAATAAAAGTTTTATAATATTCAAGTGGAGTCTTAAAGTCTCTTGTACATTAAGACTACTGACAAAATAATATTTTAATCAATGAGTTTCCTTTGCTTGTAGCCAAATTGTGAATGTGATTTTGAGGAGTACAACAAATCGATATATAGATGTCTTGCTTTTTTCATTGTATTTTTTTTTTCTTTTTTTTTTATAATGATTTAAAGATATTCTAAAATATAGCAAGAATTAATTTTTTTATTACAATTAAGAATTTTACTAAATATAGTCTCTCAATCTATGGTGTTAATCAACGTTTAAGTCTAAAAAATTAGAAATTTTTACCTCTTTTAATCAACGTTTAAGTCTAAAAAACAATAGAGTTATTATAAGTTTTTTCCTACATCTTTTAAAACATTAAATATGAGCATGTTAGGGCTAGCTTGTAAAATAATTAATATATTATCTCACTAAAACATTTATACTAAATAAAAATTTAATTTTAGCATATAAATTTATCCCTTGATATAAGAGAAAGTAACAGTTTTACTTATTGTTGTTCACCATATAATATTTAATTATTATTTTATTATATAATAAAAAAAGAATATTGTTAAATAGTGTAGTAGAATTGTTATAAAATTATATGATTTTTTTTTCAATATGGATTTAATATTTTTTTATGATTTGATAATATAAACAAATCTATACTTAACTTTGACAAATAAAACAAATAAATACTTTAGTAAGTATTTAATGTATATACTAAATAGGAATATATTTGGTATAATCAAATACCAAATATAATCAAATAAGTCAAAGTGTACATTTTTATTTGATATTTGATTTTTTTATTATTAAAATCTTTTTATTATACTTATCTTTTTAAAATAAAATAAATAAATAAATCAATTAAATAAATAAAATATTATAATACCAAAATAGTAATGACATTAATGCAGTTGACTTTTCTGGATAAAAAATGTAGTAAATAGAATCTCCTTTTATATAAGTATAGATATGATATTATATTATGTTGCTCAAAATAGTAATGCATTTATTGCATTGATTTTTCAATTTACTAAATTTCGTAAATGGTACACCTTATTATATAAGTATAGATAACAATAAAAAAATTTCTTAAAAGGCCTAGTCCACAAACATATTTAGTGTTACTTTGTATAAATTCTTGTGTGAGGACAATTTGTTTTACTACTGTTTTTTCAAAAGAGGGAACATTGCCTTTTGTAAGATGCTCCTTACACTGTCAGTGGTATTGAAGAAATAGAATCATTTGCTCCACTTTTGAGCTAGGCTCACATTTTTTTTTACATTATATGATCTACATATGTCACTACTCACTTCATACCTATTATTATTAACAGTATTATTATTAATAATAGTATTATTATTTTGATCGGTGCATACATATTACTAGTGTGTATCCCGTGCGCTGCACGGAGGGGTTTTTACTTAAAACCTTTTCTAAGATTTTATATTAAACATAGTTATTTATGTTTAACATCTTATTATTATAAAAAAAGAAATACCAAATATGAAAAATTATATATTATTTATTTGAATATAATGAGTGTCCCCAACCAAACTAATAACATCCAACATATGATATATGATAAAATTAATTTTATGATCGTCATACTTTTTGAAAAAATATACATATATTTCTAATAAACATGTAAGATCCGCATTTAAATTTGTATTTGGATATGGGATGAAAAATGAATATGTACAAATAAAAAAGTACCAAGAACCTACATAAAATGAGATTCTTTATAAACTTTAAAATATTTTGTAGTTAAGCAAATATTAACAAACAAAATCATCAATTAAGTTGAACTTATCGAATATAAAATATAATTTATGATATCATTGACCATATTTACCCGTTGTATTTAAAGTTATCATTGACCATATTTTTATGAATTAAGGTTTACAAAATATCTTTTTCAAAATAACAATTTTTTTTAATTTGAATTTGACTTTTTCATCCAACCGCTATTTTCCACAAAAATAAAAATAGTATTTTGGAAAATTTTAGACGTGAAAATCAAATAAAATTAATTTAATAGTAATCGATTAATTTAATATTATTCAAAATTGTTTATTCGGTCAACCCGATCTTAGTGCACGTTTAATTGAAACAATCGCTTACAAAATAAAAAAGTTAATCGCTTACAAAAAAAAAGGTAATCGCTTACCAAAAAAGGAAGTGAAATCTATCTATATAATATAAATCGGATTTGAAAAAAATAAAGGAAATGAAATTTCATAATTAGTTAATTTAAATTGATGTTATCCGATTTATATCAACTCCCTTCCAAAAAAAAAAGAAAATATCCGATTCCTACCAAATCGATTCAAAAAAAAAAAGGATTATGATATACGTCCAAATAAATTACAATTGAAATGTAGGCGGGATAATGAAAAAAAAAATAAAAAAACTTTACCGAATAAAGTAATAAAACGAAAAAAAAGCGGGAATATGAAGCGGGAAAATAGGATAATTTTTTTTGAGTTTTTTGAACAATTTTTCTTAGTCGTAATAATAGTAATAGATTTCCAAAATGTTACCACACATTTTTTTCTATTTTTCTTGATTTTATTAAATTTTATTTACATAAGATATACATTGGTTAATTTTAAATTGAATCTAAAAGTCAACTCCTCACACTTTTCGAAAAATGTTACCACACAATTTTTTTTTTCTTATTATGTTTTATTTACATAAGATATACATTAGTGGTTAATTTCAAATTAAATCTAAAATTCAACTCCTCACATTCTTGAATTTGAATTTTTAAATAAGGAAATGTGTTTCCATATTTTTTGGTAGTTAGAATATGTTGGATTCATTTATCTATAACTAATCATACACGTATTCAAAATTTGAACCCAAACAAAATTCTTTGAATTTTTTGCTAACAAAATCACATTCCCATAATTTATTTATTTCGAAAAATGTTACCACACAATCTTTTTAATTTTGTTTTTCTATTAAATTTATTTAAATAAAATATACATTTGTTAATATTAAATTGAATTTAAAATTCAACTCATCACAAATTTGTATATATATATATATATAGAGAGAGAGAGAGAGGGGATTCTCTTTTTTTTACATATTTAAAAAAAATTTAATCAAATTTTGAATCCCGAATTAAAATCGAATTGTAATGTGAACTGAAAAGATTTGAAATCTAATCATATTGTAGATAAGGGAAATCCATGGCAAAAAAAGAGATGAAAAAAATTCAAATTAAATTTAAGGGGGAAAAACAATTTTTTAAGCGGGAATTTAAAATATTTTTTCAAATATTTTTTCTTCTCCGTATTATATAGTAATAGATTTTATTAATCGACGCCATAATAGTTATGTAGTCGCGCTACATTGTCAATTATTTACAGATTGAGAGC